AGGGTAATCTCCGCCCTGACTGTTAATGAGAGCAGGAATAGTTTTGTCTACTTTTGTACTTTTTTAATATGAAAGGAACCCTATGTTTATGTACAAGCTCTTGACATTACGTTTGTAAGATTCATCTGCAACGTTGCATTGAACTGTCGATCATACATTCTTATTGCTGTAAATATATCACAGTTTATTGATCCATTCTGGTGTTGATGGGCATCAGCGTAGAATCCAGTTATTTCTTACATATTATGGTACTATACTCTCGATGTTTTCATACTTATTTATTTAATAAGAATAGGTATCAAACTTTTCATAGGGTGTCTCCCCTGATGACCTTTGTAGGTAATTGACCGAGAGCTGGAGAAGACTCTTGTTATTGAGGATGACGTGCGTTTTGAACATCAGTTTAAGAAGAAGCTGATGAAGCTGATGGATGACATTGACCAGGCTCAGCTGGATTGGGAACTGATGTGAGTGACGAGACAAACTTATGAGAGGGCACCGAGGGGCACTCAGTCCTTTCCAAAGGACAGCGAGCCCCACCTCCCCAGCTGGTAGGAGATAACAGCTCAAGCTTCTGCTTAGCTGGTTTTCTCTCCTTAAATGTTCCCAGAAACCAGAAGTGAGTAGAGTATAGCCACTGGTTTCTGCTGGGTGAAAAAGAAACTATGGGAGATTCTTTATGAGACCTGGAGTCTGCCTGTAGATCAGGGTCCTTCAGAATGAGCACTTACTCAGGCGCATCACAGAAATCCCACCTGGGAAGCTACGTGGTACACAGAGAGGCTGTGAAGTCAGAGGAGGAGGCATTCATTCAAGGGCAAGGGTTCTGTGTCACACTTGAGCCTCAGCAGGTCCCCTCTGCAGCCTCTGGCGGTGTGGGGGGTTGGCAAGGGGGAAGTCTCTTCTGCTGAGAAGGGAAGCCATGCAAGCAGGGAGATCACCGACAGCTGGGCTTGGCGCGGGTCAGAGGCTGTCGCAGGAAAACCAGGTTCACCAAGCAGAACTGACATTCAGTTAATGCTCATTGTCTGCTACCTCTGGAGATTGAATTTCTCTCTCTCTCTCTCGCTCTCGCTCTCGCTCTCGCTCTCACTCTCTCTGTCTCTCTCCTGTCTCTCTCTCTCTCTCTCTCTCTCTGTGTGTTTCTCTCTCTCTCTCTCTCTCTTTCTCTCTCTCCTCTCTCTCTTCCTCTCCTTCCCTCCCTCCCTCCCTTCCTCCCTCCTTTTCTTCTTAAACCAAAATGACACTTTTTGCTCCCCTCCAATGAGGCAGAAAATTCCCAGGCATTATGTTCACTCCCCAGCTGTGTGTCAAAGGCAATTCCATCAGGGCAGTACCTGTTCCTTTGGAGCAGCTGCAGCAGACAAGCTTCCCCCTCCCGTCCTCGGAGGAAAACTTAACTACGGGCCCACAGCACCGTTCGGAGCTCTAAAGAAACCGAGTAATGGCTCCACTAATCCATGGGAAGTAGACCCAGAGGTCATCACTGCGTAATGAAGAGACTGGCTGCTTGTCACATAGCAGCCACGAGCTTAGGTTCTGCACTGTCCCTTAAGACTCCTCCAGGAGTCACCGCACCTCAGCTTTCTGAATCTGTGGCTCTGCAGCCTGCAGTTAAGGCCTCACGGGCATGGAGACTGGAAGCTATTTTATGCTCACGTGACATGTGCAAAGGTCGCTTTCACATAAGCTTCAGAAGTACTGAGGACTCGGAGAGTCTAAGGCTTAGAATTGGCACATATCCCTGTTCATTTGTAGTTTTGTTGGTGCATTTCTTGGGACAAAGTACCAACAGACCCAAGAAAGAAGAACAATTCTAATAAGGATACAGGAAAAATAAAAACAAACAGATGTTTTCTAAATTTCACAGACTTCTCAAGTCAAAATATTCGAAATCTATTGCGTCATCTTAAAGAGTTATAGTGGTTTCAAGTTTTTCACCTCTCACTTTCTAAAATAAATAAGAAACAAATGTTACTTAAACTCAAAACATGAAAACTGATAGGCTAGCCATGCTGCTATCTTAAATTTCTTCAGAAAACAAGGAAATAGTAAATGAGAAGACTAGAACAAGCCACTGAAGTCATATAGGGCAGTGCTGTCCAATAGAAAGACCATGTGAACCACGTATATTGTTTAAAAATTTCCAGTAATCACATTAAAAAGGTAAAAATAAATTAGGTAAAATTAACTTTAATAACACATGTTCTCTAACCCAACACATCCAAATATTATTTTAACATGTAATCAATTTTTAAAAACTATTAATGAGTTAGTCTACATTCCTTTCTCGTGCCTTTTTCAAAATCCAGGATGTTTTACACTCACAAAGCATCTCAATTTGATGCTAAGTTTTCAACTTGCAGAAGTAAACTGGAGTCTTACCAAAACAATACATTTTGTTTAATAATGACAATTGTTTGATTTAAAACAATAAATTTTGTGTAGTAAATGTTACGCAGTTAGTAGCGTGTGAAATGTTTTACATACTTTCAATTTTATCATTTAAATTAAGTAATATTAATAAATTGAGTACAAACTCAGTTCCTCAGTCACTTGAGCCATGCCTCAAGTGCTCAGTAGAAGTTTCTCTTCCACTCGATGACACATGAAATTCAGACTCTTAGTTCTGAAGAGACAGTGGCTGAGAGGATTCGTTTGATGTCTTCAGAGGAACTGAGGGTGAACGTTGACTCGTTCCGCAAATCCTGGGATGTTTTGACAAGAGGAATCCCTTGACTGTTGAGACAGTTTTAAAGCAAAATGGAGGAAGTCAGCTTTGCCTAGCTCGCAGGAAGCAGGCACCTCCTCGAGTTGCTCAAAGCAGGTGGAAAATAAACAGGTTCCGGACAAAAGTAATGGTTTCCAGATCCAGGAATAGCTGTGGATAGGCCGAAATGTCTGAGGGTACCCCCTGTGTTGCAGAAGTTGTTCATGGAGGGAGGACAAGACTAGCCTGGGTGCCCTTCTCAGAGCAGAGCTCTCGGAAAAAGCCTGGACAGAGCTAGGCGCGTGCAAGGGGGAGAAGGTCATGCAGGCATTGTCGTTCACTCGCCCCAGGAAGAGCCCCCTTGGGGCCACTCTTGGGTTCCTGCATCTTTTATTGCTGACTGTTTCTTTCCCATAGTCTTTTCTGTTCAGTGTTTACTACCAGCAGCATTTGGAGAACGATGCAGAAAACATAGATGGCTGAGACTCTGGACTTGAAAATGACAGACTCAGAATTCTCACATCTGACCTTCGTCCCCTTCCAACCTCTATAAACAAAGCTGGAGATCTCACGCTACCTCTGGGAAATGATCTGAAAGATCTTTTAGGATCTCTACATCTTAACTTTCTGGCTTAAACACAGTCTGCTAGGCAAAAGTAGATGAGATGTTGATAAATGGAGCCAGGGAAATGGCACCGCTGGCGACAGATGACAGTCATGTTTGGTGACATGATACATTTAATACATGACACAGTTGGTCTGAGCTTTCCAAAGTGTATTCGAAGCTGTGCTCTGTTCTTGTAGATGTCCAGTCTCCCAATTGGAATTTTCTCCTCTGCCCACTTCCTTTTAGCTATATCGGTAGGAAGAGGATGCAAGTAAAAGAGCCCGAGAAAGCAGTGCCCAACGTGGTAAATCTGGTCGAAGCTGACTATTCCTACTGGACGCTGGGCTACGCCATTTCTCTGCAAGGAGCACAGAAGCTGGTGGGAGCTGATCCTTTTGGGAAGATGCTGCCCGTGGATGAGTTCCTGCCAATCATGTACGACAAGCATCCCGTGTGAGTGCCCTGAACTGCCTGCCTGTCCTGTGGGCACAGCCCGTCCATCCATTCCCCTGCTCAGTTTCCAGTGGTACTTGGTATTTTCTAAAGGTGTACTGCTTTCCTAAATGATTTTTCCATAATCGTGACCCAGGTGGCTAACTCGAGTGATTATCCCCTTTCCAGATGGGGACGATGAGGCAGAAATGGTGAGTCTTGCAGGGGGGTCCTCTTTAATACCCAATGTAATTTAATTGGACCTAAGTGTAACTTAATTTAATTTAATTTAAATGTCATTTAATTTAATTGGACCCAGTGTAATTTAATTGGACCTAATCTGCTCAGTCTTCTCCTTGTCTTTGATCTCCTTATTTCCATAAACTCATACGCCTCAAGGTGAAGGTCATCTTCCTAAGCACCTCAAATTTTTCAACTCATTTCTCAGTCTATTGTGTGTGCTGCTGGCCAGGCCGCGGCTTACAATGTAGTCAGGAGCCCAGACCTGTGAACAGTCGATGTGATGTATTGTGATACCTGTGATCACGGAGGTGTGTTGGAGGCTCAGGGAGAGTGAGGTGCACAGGGTATCCATGGAAGGCAGCAGTGTCATGCCCAGGGTTCCTGTAACCCAAGAGTTCACACCGACCCAGCACCTATCGAAAGGGGTGGCAGCTAATGGTGTGCTTGTCAGCCTCCCCAATAATTGTGGCCCCTGAGGCAGGAACAGCCTTACATGTCTCTGTCCTTAGAGCCTAGACCAATCTCTACACATACAAGCTGCTCAATCAATGATTCCTAAATTCACTAATGGAGCAGGAGACCCGGTTCTAACCGTGGCTCCTTCTCTCGGTTGCTGTGTGATTCTCACCTAGATGGTCTTCATTTTCGCGGATGAGAGTTCCTGATCTCTGTCTTGCTCATTTTGTCTCCTGCCCTCAGTAAAGATGGGGCTCCTCGCCCTCTTTATGCAACAGGTCAGAAACATGTTGCATCTTGGCAGAAGCATGGAGGCCAACCATCATCTCTTTATCAGAAAGGAAGTTAACACCTATGGTGCACTCACTGATCTAGGAGCTGAGCAGATGTCACTTCATATAATGTGCACAGGAGCCGAGGGATGGAGGTCAAATCATTCCTCAACTTTACACTCACGGGGAGCTGGAATGCAAAGCCGGCTTGGCAGGTCTCCAAGCCTACCCCGAATTCACTACCATCCAGATCCAGCTGTCTAATTTACTAATCAGGAACAGGGTGTTTTCTATCGATTGATCACACTTATTAATTATTATGGTCCAACTGAGCTTAATTCTTAACTTTTAGAGTAAGACCTAAAATTCATCTTTTTTAAACTAGTCTATCCAAATACAAGAGAAATATCCTGACTTTTTCTTTGTGTGTTTGTTTAGATCACCTGAAAGCCCCTAAAGATCTTTTATCGTGTTTATAAAGGTTTCCACAAAAGGACACAACTTAAAAGACAATCAGATGAATCCCCGACAGGTTAAGAGATAACGAGCAGGGCCCCTCGCTCCCTTCCCCCGTCCTGTCAGCGTCCTGCCCCTCACGCACCTGTCACCTGCCCCTCACGCACCTGTCCCCTCTTGTGTCCAGAGCCGAGTACAAGGAGTATTACGAGTCCAGAGACCTGAAGGCCTTCTCTGCAGAACCCTTGCTCATCTACCCGACACACTACACAGGCCAGCCGGGGTATCTGAGTGACACGGAGACCTCAACCATCTGGGACAACGAGACGGTGGCTACTGACTGGGACAGGACACATTCCTGGAAGTCCCGGAAGCAAGGGCACATCCACCGCAACGCCAAGAACACAGAGGCCCTGCCACCACCAGCCTCCCTGGACACGGTGCCTTCGCGGGATGAGCTATGAAGTCGCCACAGGGCGTCGCCACCCTTCGGTTTCGCTAACGGGCTGTTCATCTTTTTGCTCCGGTTTCTTCTCGTGGTCACAGTCATCTAAGCAAAGAAGTCTAATGCGATTGATCGAAACTAAAATATTTTCGACAGGGGAGGAGAATAAGGAAACTAAACCCAAATTTCCTAAGATGGCAGGAAGACAGGCTTTATGGCGACCAGTAAGGTCAATGTTACTCTTGATGCCTAGTCCACTACCCGTATGGTACCGGTTCTCACACATTCAGGTTGAAAAATATGGCTCAGAGACTCGTCCAAGAGAAAGGTGATCACCACACTGTCCCATCAATACATAGGTGGGCAAGGCAGCCATGCCAGCTGGACCACATCCATTGGTCTAGTGGGCCCATTTTATGTCATAGATGTAACTTTGAAGACTTGTGTATTTCGCAAGTTTGTGGGGAAAATCAAATCACTTAAAATCAAACTAATTGGCCTTTTTGCTTAAAGGATCTGTGATGAGCCTTATTGCAAAGCAAATTTTTCATCATAGTCCTAGTTATACAACGAGGATGGGTGTTGGGTCTGCGACTTGGCCTTTGACCATCGTGGCAATTGAAGGTCTCATAAAGAGGTTCCAGTTTGCCATGTGGGTATAGCTTAGTAGATATTCGGGGGTTTGTGTAGACAGTTGAGGAAAAAACAACTCAAACTTTGACCTTTTGATTGCGGTCACTTGAGTTAGGATGCTCTATTTATGGAGATAAATTTAATATATAAGGGGTTAGGGCTGGTGTCTAATTTCTGTCCCAGAGGATCAGCACATCAGACTCACCCCTCCACCGGGGAATGAATTGCAGGTGTGAGTTTTATGTGTCACTGTTAAGAGGCAGAGCACATTTGTCAGGCTGGCAACTGTGCTTGCCTGGGTCTTTCATTCGTTTGGATTATTTATTTTATAAAATATGGGGGAAGAATCTGTTAGAAAAGGCAGAAAAACAGATGTTTCAAGCTTTCATGGCACCCTGGGGAGCGGTCCGTGTAGACACTTTGATTCAACGATCTGGTCCTCCTGCATTTCCCAGGTGGACTCTGGAGTGGGGGAACCCTAACCATCCAGAAGCAAATGACTCTCCATTCCCAGTGAGAGACCTTAGTCAGAAACAACAGACTGATCAGCTGACTCAGGCCAAACACCAGGGAAGCTCTGGGAGTCAGGATCCAGGGCAGACAACCTCTCTGCTTTCTTTATAGATCGATTATCTGTAAAAGGCAGAGTTGGACGGCACCATCTCTTCCAGCTCTACCATCTGTGATCTTTGGCCATCTCATGGCGACTTGCTTCGGGTTTACGTTCTCGTGCCTGTAAGCAGCAAAACTTTGCCTCCAGAAATAGCCTCCCCGAGCCTCCTGACCACACACTCCTTCCCCGGCGGCCTCCATGTTGGAGCTTCGAGCTTTGGAGCAGAGCCCGGGGACGGAGTTGCTGCGTGTACCAGCTCACTGCTCCCCAGAGAGGCCCCGGATGCAGGACGAGGCAGTGTGCCTTCACGGGACCCCGGCCTGGGCCTTCCTCTTTGATTTGTCATTGCTGATAGTCTCCTACGCTGACTAATAGGCCAGGAGACCGAGGAAAGGGAAATCGGCTGACTGCAATTTTTATTGCATAGACACAGCTGTCAGAGCTTGACTCTTTTTATTTTTATTTTTTTCCTAGAGAAACAGAAAGAGCACCTGGAGAGCTTGTGAAAAACCCTTAGGTGATCCCTAAGGTTCCCTTAAGTATTTTGTTTGTGTATTTTAGTGTGTGCAAGTGTGTGTGACGTTCGCAATATTTTTTTAATGGGGTGGGAGGTGGCTGGGGTATTGGGAGTGGGGGGGATTGAGTTGTTTTTTTGTGTGTGGTTTTGTTTAACAGAGAACATTTTTTTTTTCCTATTTCCCCCTCAGCTGGTCTGATGGGTTTATGAATTCCCATTCTTAAAAGACATTGGTTTTAAATTGTAGAATTTTAGATGAGGACTGTCCTACTGTGAAGAAAGTTCTGGTTCTGTTAGCCCAGGCATCGCTTCTCCCCGCTCTTGTCTGGGATCCCCAGCATGGTCCTTCTGTTGGGAAGGTGTGAACTGCAGACCCAGCATTTCCTTAAAAAGTCGCCTTTTCAGCACCCCAGGGGTTCCTTGGCCTCATTCTTCTTCCTGCTTCCCCTTGAGAAAGTCGAGACACCTGACCTTCGCAGTGTCAGAGGCCTTGCCTCCGGCTGTGGCACCGATCCTCTGCCTCTGGAAGTTGAACTCCATCTGGATCCCTGTCTGGATCTTGGGATCCAACGTGGAATCTTTTGGACAGATGATCCCGACTTTAGCGGTGCTGGTGCTACTGAGTATGGACAGAGGACACACTGCGGGGGCTTTGCTTTGGGTTCACTGGGGCCCGCTGCGAGAACTCTGGAAAACAAGAAAAAGCCAGCATCCCAGCACACTACACTGTCTGTCATGCTGTGTCATTTCAGGAGGTGAAGTGATAAACTACTTGCCTTCTAGAGCTCTTTATGAAAAATTAAAAAAAAAAAAATTCGTTTGGCTCAACGCTATGATTGTTTATTGGTTCTTCCAACGCGGATCAATGGCCAATGTTGCTGGGATTTTTCAGGTCTGCTCTGGAACAGAGACGTCAAAGGCCAGAAATAACAGGAGAGGGTGGTCACTGACCTTCCTGTCCGGCGGGGGTTGTTTTGGGCTGCTGGGCAGAGGTGGGTCAGCTGAAAAGGATTCTAGGCTATAGAAGAACAGGAGAGCTCAGTGGGAGGGTGGCGAGGGGGGCGTCCAGCTTGCATTTGCGTGCTCTAGGTCAGCCTATCCATTCATTGAAAGGTACTGAGATGCTTGTCCAAGGCCAAAGAGCTTTATCCTGAGCAAATAAAAAAACAAACAAACAAAAACAGAGAGAGAGAAAGAGACTGAATCCAGCTTGGCTTTAGCAGCCCCTTGGATTTCATGCTCCCCCCAAACCTCAGGCCCTGTACTGGGCACTGAGATGCTCAGAGGGTAGGAAAAGTCTCCGCTGCTGTGGGCTCCATGGTCCAGTGGAGCAGCCAGGAGAACAGGGGGGCTTCACTCCAGAGGCTGGAACGAAGTGGGCCATAGGGAGAGAAAGAGAGTGAATCCAGCTTGGTGTTAGCAGCCCCTTGGATTTCATGCTCCCCCCAAACCTCAGGCCCTGTACTGGGCACTGAGATGCTCAGAGGGTAGGAAAAGTCTCCGCTGCTGTGGGCTCCATGGTCCAGTGGAGCAGCCAGGAGAGCAGGGGGGCTTCACTCCAGAGGCTGGAACGAAGTGGGCCATAGGACCCCAGATGCCCTGGTTCTGCTGAGGAGGCCCGCTGAGGCAGCTGTGTGGGGAAAGCGACAGTTGTGTTGCTTTGAGGGGCGTGAATGGCAGTTTAGAAGAGGGAGGAGGGTTGGGCGTGGCGAGCGGGAATGCTTTCTAGTCACCGCGAAAGTACGGGGCTCCGGAAGGTGCTGTGACAGGGATGGGGGACTGGGCAGGACTGAAGAGTCAGGTATGTGCTGGGGTCGATGACGAGAAAGAAGATCGAGACCTGATAATGATGGCAAGGTAGGTGGGCTAGCCGCCCGCTGCGGGCGGTCTCGTCGTGAATGCAGAGGCCTTCACCTCGGGGGGAATTCTAGGTTTGCTGACTCTTGACAGACAGCGCAGAGGTTTCCGGTAAAATGTTGGTGTGCAAAACAAGCAAAGCTCCCATTCGGCTCTACACTCGGGAGTCTTTTCACATATTCTTGGAGCAAATCCGTCTAACAGGTAACTGTCAGATAAAGGTGAGGCATCTACAATGTGCTTTTGAGACTTTTTCTCCAAGTAAACAGAGGGGCAGAGAAAGGATCCAGAAGGATCTTCGTGACTGACAAGGAAGTAATTCACCAGGGAGTTAGCTAATGACAAAGTGAGAGCTGAAACGAGAGGCTGGTCATTTGATAAGAAAATAGCATGACGTGGGTGACAGAAAACTAAGAGCGAGCACCATGGAAATAATCGTTACGACCATGTTTCGTGTTTCATGGTGATTTTATTATTTCGGAGAGCACTTTCCTCCCTCAGGACGTTCTGATTAAACGTGGCTGAGGCAGGAGGGCCAAGAGGAGAAAGCAGTGGCATGCGGAGTGGCTTCTCTGTGAGCGGGCTGATGACAGCCCTCAGGCAACGCAGGGCGGCTGAGACATGGGCCAAGAGTCTGGGCAGTAGGGGCGAAAGGCCCTTTTTTGCTTGGGAAAGAGAAGTTATGGTGACTGGATTGAACACACTGGGCTACCACAGGTGACATAGCAAATGGTGGCCCCTCGAGCGCAGAACAAGAAGATATGGCTTGAATTACAGCAAAAAGTTTAGAGGAAGAATTTATCGACAGAATTATTAAACACCGAATGGCTTTCCAAGGCCAGCAATAGAAAGGCTTGGTTAAAATTTGTTGTTGGGCAGGAGAACGCTTCCTTCTGCTCTGTGACTTTACATAAAGTGGTCTGTGTTCTTTTTTTCCACCCGTGGATGTGTTAATATTGAGATGATCTTTGCTCCAGTGGCTCGGGTGACACCAGCCCAAAGCCATCCTCCCATCTGCCCTCAGGAGAAGTGGAAAGAATGAAGAATCGCCTCCCAGCATTGGTTTCTCTTTATTTTTAAGTTGCTGAGTTTATTTTTCTGCCCCTCCCTGTAGTTTCTTCGGGTCAGCTGCCTCCAGCATGGGCGTTTTAATAAAATGTCGATGTCTGAGCAATTACAGGACTCGCAGAGTGCCTGCCAGCTTCGCAGCCCCCCACCCCGACCCCACGGGTCCAGAGGGGGCTCCTCGGGCGTTTCCTGTTCTAGGGGAGGCGGGACAGATGTCTGAGCTCTTGCTCATGAGGGAATTTGACCTTCAGAGTGAAGTGGACAGCATTCTTCAGAAGAGCCTGGAGAATAATCAGTGACAAAATGTGCTCTTCAGAGAGAGAACGGGCAGTGTGAAGAAGAGTCCCAGACAAGAGCTGAGATGTCCGAGTGTTGATGGGAGGGTTTGAACCGCTTTGAAAACTGTGGAGACCTGATGAGGATGTCATTGCTCAGGCTGGGGACAAGGAAGACGCCCCCCGCTGAGCTGAGTGTCAGGGATGAGCGACACAGGCCTTCGGGGAACTGAGGGGAGTTGTCAGAGGTGGCTTCCAGGGCACAGCACACAGAGCCCAGGAGAGAAATGCAAGGACAGAGGGACAAGAGACAAATTCGGGCCTATCAGTGTCAGCGGAGAAAGCGAGACTGGTTCACAGGCCAGAAAAGGAGGGAGGAACCAGAGGGAAAAACGCAAAGAAGGGAGGCTCAGAATGGCCGTGGCAACGTCTGGGCCTTCAAGTGGCTGTTTTATCCTTGCAAACTCACAACAGTCGGAGAGACCGAGGTGCGTCCAGCCAGGTGGCCTGCAAAGGGACACGTGGGATGCCGGGAGCCCCCAGTGCCTTTGGAACAGTTGCAGCTCACAGCCGGGCATCCAAATTGTCCCTGAGCAGAGCTGTCTGAGCAGAGGGCCCTTCCTGCAGGGAGAGACGCACGGTCCAGGTGGACACAGAAGGGAGGGCATGGCAGCAGGCAGGGTGGCTTCTGGTGAAAGGACCTTTCCTCTCTGTCTACAGAGGGAATCCGAGGGGTGGGACTCTCAGGGGATCACCGCTGGCTCTGTGTGGTGACGCAGCTCCGGCTCGTCAGGGCTACTCTGCATCCGCTGACCGCTCCCATCAAAGCCTGGCCAGCGGGCATCCACACTGCGAGCCTGCAGCCCGGACGGTGTGGTCAGGGCCACGCGGGGCCCACAGTCCCCTCTCCGGGAGCCCCCTTGGCCCACGGCTGTGGAACCAGCTGCCACAGCCTTGGCTGCCCTCCAACTCCACGTCAGGTTTATCCAGAGCAGCAGTGGGCTAGATTCTCCCAGGGTGCCGTTCGCACATCTGAAATCACATCTCTGAGAGTGTCACAGCTGCAGTGTGTGGCTGCTCAACCGGGGAAGGAGGCTGGAGGGTTTCTGGGAAGCCGGGACCCCCTTAGGTGAGAAGCCTCCCAGGAGTAGCAGCAGCTGACTCATGGTGGGCGCCAAGTGTCACGTGCACTGTGTCATTTAACACTGTGTGACCTTCAAGAGGTGGGAACTATCATCAACCCCTAATTTTCAGCTGAGGCAATAGCTGAGTGACTTGGCTAAGGAAGTAAGTGGCCTGGGGTCAGACCCCATCCACACCAAACCATCCCTGCAGAGCTTCTGGTGGACAGTCTGTCTTGTTTCTTGTTTTCTCACTAACGTGTAATGCCTTTCTCTGTCTCCCTCTCCTCCCTCTTCTCTCTCTCTCTCTCTCACTCTCTCTCTCTCTCTCTCTCTCTCTCTCACACACACACACACACACACACACACACAGTCTGATGTAAAAAGAACTTGCAGCTCCAACCCCTATAAAATCTCATATATATTGACTATTCAGCTGCTCTGACATCTTCTCTGGTGATGTTTTGCTGGAGGCTTGGATGTCAGATATTATATAAATGAGAATCAGAAATAGATGTCTGGGGAAAGCTAACAGTCTCATTTAGAATGCTTTTCCCATTTTGGAACTGGTGCCTTGATTTTTTTTTTTTTTTTAATGCCTGGAGCAATCCAGAAAGTTTAAATCATTCACTATTTTTTAAAAAACTTGATTTACTGCTACCCCTTATGTAAGAAATTGGAACTGTAACACAAAATGTTGCTTTGGGATTAAACAATGGTGGGAATAAAATTTCTTTGGAGGAGCCTGTGATGAAGTTCTTGGATGCCAATAACTGGCTTACAGAGAGGTTGAGCTGGGAGGTCCCAGCCCTCTCGGGTGGCACCGGAGCCTCTGTCACATCCACTCCTTCTTTGACTCTGCGTGAACTTGGTGCTTTTCACAGGAAGCCCTCCTGTCGGCCCACCCTACGCCCGTGGGCCAGCCAAGTTCAGGGATCAAATGGATTCAAATCCTAGCTGGGGAGCTAACTCACAGTGTCACCCTGCTTTCTACGGCCGTTTCCTCTCTGTGAGATGATGCTTGGATAACAGGTGGCAGTGCTTTGCCGAGCAGCAGAATGTTCTCTGGAGACTTTAAAGAACCAACTAGATGCCCGTCTAACCAAGACGGCGTGAACCCGCGTGGCTGGAAGGCTGGGCATGAAGCTCGCAGACCCTCCCCGGCTCTGTGAGGCCCCAGAGGCGAGCCTGCCAGGAAAGCCCCCAGGATTCAGCGCCCAGCCCAGTGACACGCAGACCGTGGGTCCGGTCATTCACGGCTCTGCCCCTGACCTGGAACGGCCGAGTTAAGTGCCCTGGGCCTCAGCCCCTATCTCTGTAACGTGAGGGGCCGACTCGTGGTTTGTAAGATGACTTCCAACTGGTAAGCAAACGTTCACACACCGGATTCCTCAGCGTGTTAAGTAAGTGAATCGCTTCCAGTTGTCCGGGTAGAGAGGTTGAGAAACCACACCACACAGTGGTTTTCGAATTCTGAGTCTAAAATAATTAAATTTGCCTGGCTTCTGTTTGATCTCGTGGGTTACGTGTAAACACTTTAAATGTCCTGCATTTGTTTTCAACAACGACATCTGTAAAGTAATTCCAAATTTAGTCAGAGTAGGGACCACATTAGAAGCGCGTAAATTGGTGGTGACCGCGCCCTAAAAATTAAATTCTGTAAGGCTAATTGTAGACAAAATTAAATTACTCTTTCTGGCATGTTCTCCTCCTTTGAACACCTGTCTTTCTTCAACCCTTCCTGCGCTCCACGCGGCCCCCACCTCAAGTCCTCATGGCCACCTCTTCCGAAGTTTGGCTTTTGCTGAGGGCTGTGGGAAAATAAACCTGTGCACCCTTTTCAGAAGCCGTAACTCCGCTGTGGCAGAGACGGTGATGATCACGGGGCACTCTAGGTGTTACCCTGTATTTCCCACCTCCCTTGCTCTTGGCTCGCGGCCACGGACTGACCAGACGCCTGGGAATGGAAGTGACGTTGTCGCTTTGGTCTAAGGCAGTTAGGAACGGTGGCGAGTTCTCCCCACCATCGCCGAGACGTGAAGGAAGAACCCGAGATGGCAGACTTGCAGGACGGAAGCCGCCTGGATCCCTGAGACGCTGTTAGGGGGAAGTCGCGAAGGAGAGCCGCCTGGCTGGCTGTACACTGTGACTTGATGAAACATAAAACCGTCCTTCAAAAAAAATTACGAAGGTTTCATGGTTTATTACTTCAGCCTAGCCTGATACATCCCTTCTAGAAGTATTTCATTTTGAGAGAGGCTCTAGGGGAAATAGTAATGCAAAACAGTGGAAATAACTTCTCCTAGGAGAATTCTGAGTCAGGGTCTGACCGGTATCATTGCATCTGTAGAACAAGAGGACCCGCCTCAGGGGACCTACCCCGTGCCACTGGTCGAGGGCGCGGGGCAGCGCTGCGGGCCCCCTCGTGGCCGCAAGCTGCGCAGCAAATTTGAAAAGGCTCCAGAGAAGGACATTTTAGGACATTATTCCTTTAGGCAAAAAGTCACCGAGCTCAGTTTCTAGAAAGAGGCAAAACAAGGGGCTCGGTTTTCTACAATGATCTTGAAAAAATAGTCAGCTACTGCCAGAAATAGAAATCCCTTTTTCTCATCTTGCCCCGCCTCATGTCATTAATTATTAAAATGCCTGCGTGGCTCTCTCCAAAATCCCACGAGGGCCCAGAAAACTTGATCATTTGGATCCATTTAGGAATCCACCGGAAAACAGTTCTGGGGACTTACTGGAAACAACGAGGAAAAGACGATAATGTGCATCTGCCGAGTGAAGTGGGCCTCAGTCCGACCGCCTTTTTGGAAGGCCTTTGGTCGCTCTACAGAGGCCCTGCTGGCTTCCAGAACGCCATGGAAGGTTTCAAGAACTACGCAGGTAGTAGCACGTGCAGACTGGGGAAAAGGCTGTCAGCAAGTCAGCAGAGAACTACCTCGACTCCCACCTTGAAGTTCAGGTTTATAGAAAGTGTCCCGCACAGCATGACTCCTAAGACTGGCAATCTAGCAGCAAGGCGTCCGCTTGGACTGTGGTTTCCTAAGGAGGTCATCCTCTCCCCCAAATCTGGTTTGCTAGCGTTGTGACACTTGCCAGTGTGGGGATCCCCTCTGACTCTGCCACTGGGGATCCCCTCTGACTCTGCTCCCTCTACCCGAGTCAGAGCAGGCTTCCAAAACGCTCATCGACACATCTGGAACCCAGGACCCACTCGATTAATACTCCAGATGCCGTCCCTTTGGGTCTGGCAGCACACGCCGACCAAGTCCCAAATCAGTTTATTAGTTTAACCAAAAGGTAAACAGATGACGGAGATGCAGAAAGACAAGCATGCGAGCAGCTAGAAGCATTACCCGGCTGTCCACCAGGAAACAAATTTAAGACATTTAAAGTGGCATTAAATAAATGAGGCTACGTTTTATCTAACTGGAATTTCCGTTGTCTTTAAAAAAGGAAAATATATATATATTTTTACATTGCAGTATATAAATCTAGACTCTACATATACAGTATAATTACACAGGGCGAGCACACGGGCACATGTATGTCTTGGTAGCTACACTCTAAATCAAGCTGACACTTCTCTATTGTTTTTTCGACCTTCAAACCAAGAAATTCAGGCTGAGGCTACATTTACTTCAGTTTCCACAATGCCTAGCACCTCGGCCATCTCTCCTCCAAGCGCAGAAGCACAGATGGGACGAGCCTCGCAAACAGAAGAAAGTGCTTTTCGACTGGCCGAAACCTAGTCGGTCTCTACGATGCACAGACTGATGTCCTAGGCAGATCTACAGGACATGTGAGGCCTTCTGGGCTCATTCTTTGGTCCACCGCCACAAATCTCTAAACTTTCTCGGGTGTTCCTTGCAGATTTCCTATGGCTATGCACATAAGCCTCACATAACCTTTGGGAGCTGTGTTACAGGATTAGGAATGGGGAAAAAAGCTCCATGTTATAACCTAGTCTTCATATCTGGCTTCATCCTTTTTATTTTTGGAATAAAAACTGGTATTTTGAAAATTTTTCCTTTAAAGGGACAACATTCTGAAAGTGCTTCTCACACGCGTCGACATTTCGCATATGGCTTTTAGTTCAAACCTAGCACAGCTCAGATTTGGAAGGGAGAGGGCAATGTTACTAGAGACAAAAATGTCGCTTGACAGTGACACCGTGATAGCAGTGTGGGGACCCGAAGAAAAATGTGACTGATTCCAACTGGAAGATCTCTTTAGAAAGGATTTAGGTAATATCTGAGCCCCGCTTCTTTTCCCGTGACGAGGCACAGTAATGCTATAAAAGTTAATAAGTAAAACAGGATGCTGCTGTCAGCAGGGAACATCTGAGGGGCTATAACAGCAACTGCTGCTTAGAAATCTTTCACAGGCTCAAAATGATCCAATAGGAGTCAATCGCAGTAGAATTTCTACACCTGAGAAACAAATTGCACATAACATAGAGGTACTACGATCCAGATGGCAAAAGACTCCTTTACATGCAAAAGGCCATCAGAAAAGGCAATGTAGTGGCATTCTGAGACAGAGAAGAGTCCCAGTGAGTCACCATCCTTTTGTGATTTCTTTTCCGGCTGGTAAGTTACCAAAGAACATGGCCATTTGAACGACCACGATTGGGATATGTTCTTTACGGGGGAAACAGAAACACAATGCGGTCGCCAGCAGTCGAAACGGGCTTGCGTTGACTCCAGAAATGTCATGACAGCTGGACCGGAGGGTTGGCTGGACCTCTGAAGCCCTTTGCTGCCGCCCCCCGCCCCCCACCCCCAGAGTAGCAGAAATCAGCGGATGCAGGCAGAGGTCGAAAGCCACTGGCTCATCCAAACCCTTTCAAAAGTGTCCTCTCATTCAGCCCGTGACAATTCCAGCCTTCACAATTGTTCTCTTCTGGTGGCACTTGACTGAGAAAGTAATTCTTGCCCTTTATAAAAACGGTTTGGACTTCTCCTAATACTGGCACCAAGGACACTCTGTATTCACAGGATTGAATCCATCTGTCTGGAAGGTATGAGGCTAGGTTCTCAGTTCCTTCTATTTCCCTGTAAAAAGTGACCTCAGCTTTCCAGGCCATTGTGCAAATTTGTTTTTCCATAGTCCAGAATATTCTATAAGTCCCTCATATACCTATATATATACACATACATACCAAATATGTGTTATATATATATACATTTATAAATGTGGATAATTCTGCATTTCAGTCTCAAATAGGTCAAGGAGAATCAGTGAATTGTTCATCCTTTTCATGTCGAATTCATCCCCCACTTCCCCTCAACGCCTATCATAGTGCCTTGCGCCCCAGAGGTACTCCATAAACATCTGATGCCTTCACCAATGACTCCCTAACACTGGATGGTAGCTGCAGTCACCGTGGCCTGTTCTCAGCCCCGCCGTGCCTTTGGCAAGCAAGGGGCCACCGGCCTCTCCCTTCAGAGGGTGATTTTGCTCTGTCTGTTGCTCCAGCAGCCCCGTTTAGTCGTTCTGGGCAAGGTCGAGCTGGTCTGCCTACGCAGTTTCGCTTGTTCTTCCACGGAGTTCTTTTTGCGTAAAATGAAGTCAAAGTTCACTTGGCTGTTCATGGCATAAAAGACATTTGCCGAGTCTGGGATCACGAGTTCTAGAAACAGTAAGGAGAGAGAAGGTGGTCAGCTGTGTGGGTCGAACCAGCACTGACAGTGGTGGGGGTATATTCTGCCTGGACCCAAGGCTGGGACTTCAGCCCTTTGTCCCTAGAATGCGAACCAAACCAAAAAGTGACAACCCCCCTCCAGAGAACTGGTTCCAACAACATCTCAATGCCAATTTTTAAAAATCTAAGTGCAAATACATTCCTAGAAATTCAACCCATAAACTAAATGTTCAAATGCAACACGTTTTAGCTGGAAGAAAGTACAGTGGGAAACAGAGCCCGGGGGAGTTTAAATGACGTTCCCAAGGTCATGGCTAGTAAACGGCAGAACTGGGACTAGAACCCAGGCCTCCTTCCTCCTGCAGTCCATTTTCTACTCCAACACACAGCTTTTCTCAGAGACGAAAAGAATCCGAGGATGTGGAGAAAAAAGTAGAAAACCTACAGCGTTTTTCAGAACTCTTGGAATATTGAAATATTTTGTGAAGTAATCCCAAATCGAACCAATATTTTATTCCTTTGGAGGCCTTTCTTCATCGAGAACTTGAATTTAAATATTAAACTGCATCCAGGTAAGATAGTGTATCTCTAGTAACATTGAAACTTGTCTACTTCAATGATTCCTACGTAGATAGCTGCAATTTCTGAATAAGGGCTATTCCAGGTATGATGTGAAATTATCAACTGAAGTTATTTTAATCTATCTTTATTTTTAAAAGAAGGCATATACCACTTAGCGCTCAGGGATGATGGGTATTTCAAAAACAAGCAAGGAACAAAAAGGTAAAATGTGCGTGTCTAGCTTTACGGTGGTGGCATGGGAAAGGCAACCGGTAGAGGCATCTGATTTTGGAACTGGGTTAAATCGGCCTTATATTAACTTCATACATGGAGATTCTATACAAGGAGGTTCTAGGGGACTCTGGAACATATTTTGCACAAATGTTCCATAAAGAATAATTCCTTTAAAGTGTCTCCAATCTCCTGCCCACATATTCCGGGGTCGGTAATAATGGACCTCACAGCTGTATGTCACATAGCACGTCTTCCAGCACGTTCTTGTCATCTTCACAATCGCCCTGTGATGTATGAGGAACTAGTAGGGTATCGTGTCCACTTCACTAACCGAGGACCAAGGCCCAGGAAGGTCAGACTGCCCACGAGGACCGACCAGCGGTGAGTAAAGCTGGGCCCGCGCTGCACCCGGGGGCTCCTGGTTCATGGACCCGCCAGGCTCAACTTCGCATCGCTCTGTCGGCATCATGGTAAAACCCAAGGGACCACTTTGGAGGCTTAGAATTTTAACTGTAACTACATTAAAAGATATAACTGAGAAAAGTTTGCCCCACAAGCTAGATTCAGCTGAATAAATGAGAAAACGTCCAACAGTTGAAAAGAATTTTCTCAGCGGCTATAGCTTTCGCCTCTGAGAAAAGATACTATAATCCTGGCCGTTCTCTGGGGCCGGTCTGCCCTGGGCGATTGGTTTGGTCAAACACAATATGAATCGCTGCTCCCTTGCCATACTCTCGATTTGTATAATTCTTCCTTCCTTTTCCAAGGGGGCTGCTAGTTGGTGAACAAGCCTTTGACACTTGCATGGGTCACCGCCAGGTCGGTCAGCAGAAAGGGCTGGACTCACACAACGATATTTGCTGCTCCTTCTGTACGCGGAGAGCAGACTTACTCTGAGTCACTTTCTATGGTGTGACAGGATATGGAGGAGTTATCCGCCAGCTTGTCTCCTCCTCTCAACAAATACAACCCCAGTTCAAACCAGCAAATAGATACATTCAGGGTGAGTATTTGCCCAGTTTTCATAAAAAGAATTTCTTTAAATAAGGGGTTTCTAGGCATATTGAAACATTTTATGGATCACCAGTTCTTTGCCTCAATAAGTGTGAGGTAAAGATCCTTCAAATTCTAGTATTAGAAGCTTTTTGCTCCTTGAAGATCAATCATGAATAAAGATAAGCTTTTGAAAGGCAAGCTTATAAGCCTCTCATGAATGATTAATTGAAACGATGAGAAATTATCACAGGAACTGCTACGTTTCAGGTCCACACACAACTCAGACACACATCAGTGGGTAAAAGAGGTGTGTGGCCACCCACAAGAATCCAACAGACTCCCCCCGCCTCTCAACATAGACCTGATGTAGGATGAGAAGTTTACAAGAACAGGCAGGAGGAATGCTCAGCCCAATGTAGAAATGACAAGTGACGTTGGGGCAGGAGCAGCGTGAGACCTTTAATTCTGCAGTGAGGCGACGGCATGGCTCCTCACGCAGCTCCACCTTCATGCAATTAGAAACCCCACTTGGTTCCATTTAAAAATGACACCGTATCCATTTACTGACTTCTAAGAACTGCGGTCACCCACTGCGAGAAGGCACGAGCAGGTACAGGCGCCCACCTTTGTCCTCCGAGATGACCTGCACCAGCTCGTACTCCTCGGCTGGGTCGGAGTCCAGGTTGTGCTTCAGCATCGCCCTCTGGATCACGGCGGGGGTTTTGTCCTGGCTCGTCAACTGGAAAGGCAACGGAGGGGGTTGCAAAGCGTTTAGTGCATGTTTCCTGAGAGAGCTCTCCCGGACCTCATACTCTCGCTGGCTTGTGCCTTTCTGGGAGAAACGGGCCAGTGGAATGAGAACGAGACCAAGAGCCAGAACTCCTGGGTTCTAGTCCTGGCTCCACCCTTAGCAGTCGAAGGACGATGGGTCATTTACTCTCTCAGCCACCTACTCTCTCAGGGTCACAGTGTCTTCCTCTATTAAAATGGAGAGAATGTGTGCCTTGCTTACGTCCTTCCCACTGGTTGCGATTCCAGTGGAAGAAGATACATGAGGGTTTTGTGAAAAATCATAGCATTTTCAGTCTTGGGCCGAAATGACCCTTACCTGCCGAGCTGTTGCTATGGCGCTGGTTACAATCTGTGGCCACAGTTCTGCGCATTGACCATTTCAAAAAATACAAGTGACCCTGTGGCCCAGCCATCCTACTCTTGGGTGTTTAGCAAGAGAAATGAAAACATACATCTTCAAGGGGACCGGTAAACAAATGTTCATAGTAGATTTATTTGCAATAGCTGAAAAGTGGAATCAACTGGAATCTTGTTGACAACAGGGGAATGGATAAAGAAATTGTAGAATATTCACAATAGAACACTACTCAGCCGCTAAAAGGAACTACGAACGGATACACTCAACAATGGGGATGAAAAACACCATGCTGAGCCAAAGAAACTAGACACAGAAAGAGTCTATTCTTTCAAAAACAGGCTTTGGTGTTAGAAAACTAACTTTAAATAGCCTGAACCTTAGCCGGATTAAAACGGTATTGAATGGATGGGGCACGAGGGAATTTTTGGAAGGACGAAAAATATTCTTTATCTCGACTTAGGGTGGTGGCTACAGATGTAGATGTAGATAGGAGAGGAATAGGGATGGAGAGTTATAAAAACCTAAAGAACTGAACGCTTAAGATCTGTGTATGTAACTGTTTGTAAATTATGCTTCGATAAATATCAGCTTCTACGTGTTTAAATATCATAAATCTAACATTTTTTTAAAAGTAGAAGTAAAGGTTCCCCTCACCACCAGTTCTGACTTTCTTCCCTTCATCTCTGCCTATCAGCCAACTATTTGCAGGATGGTCAGGAAAAGAGGGCTGACTTATGTACCATCCTTGGGCAATTTCTTTACATTGAAAGAAAGCGAAGGAAAACTCAGACTATTCTTACTTTTTTTTTAGGCGAGGCAACCCTTGGTTGACCTCACGGATTGCAAGGACTTTGTCAGCTTACAATCCTTTATTTTTTATGTTTTATGCCTACAGCACCTGGTCTTGCTAGGTGGTCTTCCATCCAAGTACTAACCAGGCCCGACCCTGCTTCGCTTCCGAGATCAGACCGGATCGGGCTTGTTCAGGGTGGCGTGGCTGTAGACCAGACTATTCTTACTTAAAAATAAAAGCTGTCCTCTCTAGGTGGTAAGAGGAGAGACAACCACAGAACAAAAAACAAAACCGAGTCTAACTTCCTCCAGGACATTCTGTCACTGGGAGCCTGAGATGGTGAGACCCAGAAGTCTCCCTCTGGTCAGGGGTGGCAGCTGGTATTTGCGATTCAATAAACAACGTGCATTACAATAGAGCCTTGTAAGCAACGGACACCTTGCTCGTTTGTCTATTGCCAAAACATCTGGTCTGTCCATTTACAAGGGCGAAAGAAAGGCACGCAAAATTTTCAAGGAGGAAAATATGTTTTTTGATAGTCTAAAAAAAAAATAGTCCCTCGGCTGGATCAAAGTGGACTAGGAGCTGAAGGAGAAAGGGCAGCATTGGGGATGGATGCTGGGCGGCGGCGGCCGACGTTAGGTTGAGCTGTCAACTTGAAACTTGCTTAAGGAAAAAAACATCTTTTTTCTCTTTATTTTCTTTACCTTAAACTTCCTCAGGTGTGTCCACATGAGGACAGGATGGCCAAGGGCCTTTGAGTGCTTATTACTTTGTATCATAAAAGCTACTGAGGGGAACTGATGATCACAATTAGTATTACCAGCTTGACCATGCAGCTGAATGTTGACATACTGAACCAGCACCGTCCAGTGTGTGTGTATAAATTGTATGTGTATGTGTATCTATATGTGTGTGTATATATATGTGTGTGTGTGTGTGTGTACACATATATACACACACACACAGTGTATGTATATATAACGTGAGCCTCATTTGTAATTTTAAATATCTAGTGGCCACATTTAAAGTTTTTAAAAAGGGAAATTAAGTATAATAATATATTATTTAATCCAATACATCCAAAATATTATTTTAGCATGTAATAATACAAGAATTAAGATAGTTTACATTTTTTTGTACTAAGTCTTCAAAATCTGGTGTATATTTTTATACTCACAGCACATCTCTATCTGGATCACTCCCATGTCAAATGCGCAACTGCCACATGTGGCTAGTGGCCACTCCACTGAATGCCACGGTACTGAATGATGCTTGGGTGTCACCTCCATGCACCCTAAACAGGGAATGCAAACATCTCCCTGCGCCCCTTCCCCGAGGTTAGTTTTCTAACACCACACGTCAGCTTGGCCTGTTTTTCAAAGAATAGGCTCCTACAGGATGCAATCTTTTGTGTCTGGTTTCTTCGGCTCAACATGATGTTTTAGAGATTCGTCCACACTGTTGCATGTATCCGTGCTTAGTTCCTTTTAGGTCAAAGACACTGCAGAGTTAACATAGGTAGAACTTACTTCTCTGGTCAGCATAGGTACGAAGAGCCATGTGAATAAACCACGCTGAAAATGCAGTAACAACACAATGGCCTTGGCTTCCCGGTGGCTCTCCTACCTCTCTGATGCTCCTTGATCAGCGCCCAGCACCATGACCAGCTGAGTTCTGTCTCAGCCTACACCTGCTCCCTGCATGGCCGTGTCCACCCGGTAGGGCTGGACTGCTCCCGGTGCTTGACCCTGGCACCAGCCTTACACCAACCCATGCTTCTGATCATCTACTAGACAACGCCGTCCGGATCTCCTACTGGTGCCTCCAATTTAAATGTCCCCAGAACCTCCTCCTCCAGTATTCATATCTAACTGCACAGGACAACCAACCCCCAAGCCACCAAGACAGCCTTGAGAACTCCCTCTTCCTCAGCCCCCATGACAGTAACCAAAATGTTGATAACTAAATGAATTCTACAATTCTACCTTATAAAATTTTTTCAAAAATCTGTATTTTCTCCAGCCACGTGACCACCATTCAAGCACATTTCATCTCCTGCATGGACTATGACAGCGGCTTCCTAACCTCTTCCCTACCTCTAGTCTTGCTCCCTGCCCTCCCCCCCACCGCCACTCCAGCATCGAGTCGCCATGATGCCAGTTACTTTTCTAATGAACAAATCTAACTGCTCCTTAAAAACCATCAATAAGATCCTATTGTCTGTGGGACTAACATAAACTCCTTCATGTGATTCTTTACATTCTGATCTGACCTCTAGTAGAGTATTTAGTACATTTTGGATAATGCTTTATGATCTCCCTTTTGATTATAAGTTCCTCAAACACAGAAATGTCTCATTCGTCTCCCTGTCTCCAAAGCCTTGTCCAATGACTAATACACAACCAAGTTCAAGAAATATTTTGTTAATTCAGTGAGTGCTTTAGCAAAGCTTTTCTCTAGAACATTAAAATACAGTGCCTCCATAACTCCTATGTCATATTCAGAGCTGATCTTGTCAGCACTCGGTGTGCAAGTGATAAAGATGAGCAGAGATGCAGAAATAGCTGTGGGGTTTTACTGCAGAGGAGAATCTGCTTTTCAATATATGATATGTCCTATAAACTAAAGAGTTTATTCTCATAATAAACACATGAGACCATTCACAACAAGGTTATTACCAGGAGAGGCTCCGTATTCCAAAAAGACTGCCATTATTCAAAACGTTTTGGGGACCGTGTTCAAAAACATAGATTTTACAAGAAGCTGAAAAACATCTGTCTCATTTATTTATAATCATAGTTCCTCGTGGACTCATGCTCTCTTTCCAGCTTGATCATCCACTTTACTAAGTTTGATTCCAAATGACTAGAAGAAAGATTTGCCCCCATGGAGGACACTGCTAAGGCCACATGGCGACTCAGTTATAAATCCACATGTGATTCCACAGGAAGCCTTCCAACAGGCGCGTGGCAGTGGCCCCTCTGGAATATATTATATAGTCATCCGAGCTGACAGTTTTGAAAAGGGTGACACTGCCCTGGACGAATAAGTTTTGGCAAATTTTAAAGTGTAGAAATTATGTCCTGTAAGTGTTGTTGGTATGTAAACTTTGAATATATTTATATACATTATTGGTCTACACCGAGGGAGGTCCTGGTACTTATTCGCTAGGCACATCCTCATTTCGTGTGAAGGCACACGTGTGGGCTAACGCTATACGCCTTTTGGGGCGTCGGTCCGAGCGCCTTACCACGATGCTCTTGTACATGTTGCCGTTGTTGTCCTCTCTGCTGATGCGGATTATGCAGGTGTCCTCGTTCTGCTGGTTGTAAATGGGAGGCAGCACTGTCGAGGTAATGGATGTCACGGAGACGGAGCGCTTGTGGACTTTGGGGTTGTTATTACAGGACGGAGGGGAGGACAGGGGGTTCATTAAGGACGACATCCCTGAGGAATTTGTGTCCATGGAATGGACGGAGGAACACGATGAGGATGACTCAGAGAGCTGGAAGAGTAAACACACCCGAGAAGAACACGGGGCTATTAGAACAGTGCGCTTCACGGTTTTCAAAGCACAGTTGTTGAGACTAAGACACTTCCGTTGTTCCCTCCACAGCAGCCCACAGTGCACTTGTATCTTTTCTCTGGTATAAGCGCCCCCAAGGCAGGTGACTATCAGTGACTCAGTCCTTAACCTAATAATAACCCTACATTCCTGTGAGGCAAGGCGGTTCTGTCATTTCCCTAGTTTTCGGCTGCTCTTAAGGAGTTGAACCAGCAGATGGCAGCAGATACCAGGAACTAGAGCCAATATGGGCTCCCAAAGGAAATGGGAAGCTTACAGGGCAGGAGGAAAGCCTTACGCCAACGACTGACATCCTAGTGCCTTGAGCGGGAATGATGCTTGCCATGCCAGCAGTGATCATTTCTATCCTGATCCCACTTTGCAATCAGATTCTATAGTGGGAGAGAAATGTCAATATTTTTATAAATTTCTGAGATAAGGACCACGGAATACACAACTCTGCACAGAACATGAGTCCTGACAAGGCCCCTGCGATCGCCATTCCCTTTCTACCGCTGAGGATTCCGAGGCCAGAGAAAAAACTGTTGACAGCAACACCAGGACATGCTTCCAAGTTTCCTGACTCCCGGGGTCATGTGCACAGAGCAAGGACGCAGCCACAGCCCAGCTGCAGGTGACGATAACGTGGTGAATGAATACAGTACTCCAGTACCTCGGTGACGTTTGGGATGAGCTTTCACATATCTTGTGAGCAAAATGCAGAGCATTGTAAAGATGCAGGAATCAAGATTCAGAGAAGCACAGACTTGCCCAAGGGAACCCAGCCTACGGGCAGCCCCACCGCTTCCCACGTTTGCTTCTACAACAAACTGTACACATTTTCATGTTGTGTATCAAGGATAACTAAGGAATGAGGCACGATAGTCAGTGTGCTTTTCTGATTTAACTACACAGTTATCATTGTGCAATACCAGTTACGACAGAAATAAGATGTCTAAAACTCACTAGGTGGTGCTCCAAAAAGTCATTAAATCAATCAGTTTTAAATATCAATTTGTATTGTAGAAAATTACAATTTTTTTAGACTGAGTTAAGCCAATTATACCACTCAATCTTATAAAATAATTGTAAGTCATCTAAAAAATAAATAATATTCATTTCTTTTATATCAGTCTACCTGTCCGTGGCTACCTACCAGTCTGCCTACCTTTCTGATTATCTGGCTTCCAAATAAAATGGAGTTTACTCTACTGTATTTCCTATAGACTTCTTCCTATGGCATAACTACACATTAAATTCTCCTGCATGCTGAGTTTCATTAGAGCCAGCAAGTTGATGTTTCAACTCTGATAGGCAGGAGTCTAACTGTGGCTCTATCGTAATATGGTTATGTTACATTTTTCTCCTTATGCGTCCAAATGAGTCAACTCGTGGCTCAATTTGAGGGCTGACTGATAGTTGATCATTTTAACAGCCTCACTTTGCTTGAAGGTACACCACACAGTCGCCAAGAATGTCCCTTTTCCACTTATTGGTTCAATTTTTCACCTCCCTTTTCCTTCACATAAATCCCTTTTTCCTTGGTTGAATTTTCTAGGATTTTAATGACATTTATAAATAAATAAGGCCTTAAAGATGCCTGGGTTATAGCAGCTCTAAACCAACCACCTGAGAGAATTTACTATGAGGAGCAAGTGTGAAAATAAGTGTTTAGAAATCACGACGAGGGGGATGATAGAAAAGGAATGAAGTTACACGTCACTGAAACAAGCGACCTCACGGTGTAGCCAGTGGGGAAGGCAAGGTGGCAGCCTGCAGGGCTGCAGGGCCTCGGGGTGGGAAGGGGCTGTGGCGGCCCAGCCAGGTCAGCTATGCAGTGGGCGAGAGAACTGAGGACTTGCCAGTTAACATTCAGGGATTTTGTAGCCCAGCAACTACTCGCCTCCAATTCAATTTCTCATTTTTAAACCTATAGAAATTCATGACTCTGAGAAAGGGTCACCCAAAGAATAAAAATCCGTGACTTGTGCAAGAAAGTAAAGCACCAGTGTGATAAGGGTGGAGACCAAAAAGGATGAAGCAAGGAGTGTACAAACGACACACACTAGGCTTCTGAGTAGTCTGAACAGTGCGAATGTGATTCTAACTCCTTCCTGGACAGGAAGAAATCCCATAAAGGTGTGGGCAATATCTTAGTTGTCACTTCTGTACAATGGCCATCATCAAAAAGGGGGCCCCACAAAGCATGAGAACCTGTCGAAAGGTGGATAAGGAGACTTTACTCCAGGTTTTGACAAACTCGGTGTTGCATGTCAGGTCCTGTAGAATTGACCACACCCCTGGTTTAGGAAAAATGCCTGAGAGAATGACCATAAGGGTTTGCAGAGATTTTTCCCTAATGTCTGGAGAATGTTCCCTGAGTCATCTCAATCTGACCAGTCTTGAGTATGGTTTCCTTCCTGCACTGGCTACTTTATGACAAGGTCACTTGAGGGTTCCCAGATTGCTGTTATTGCTTGTAACAAATGTGAAACAACACACAGATTCCCTTGCAAAATGGATACAGACAAAATGAAGGAATACAAACATTCTATCTCACTGGCCTAAGTTTAGGCTAAGTGGCCAGAAACTTAGACAGCAAGTTTGGCTGGCCATAAACTTCTCAAAATGGTACAAATTCTAGTCACGTCAAAGTTGACATCTCTGATCCAAGCTCCTTGGCCAAAGATTGAAGCAGATGTATAAAGAAGCTTAAGATGGATGTTTGTTTTATTTTCATTTATTTATGCAGTCATTGAAAATGGAAACTCTCTATGGGAATTATTTTATCACCTCGCATCGCTTTCCCTTTTTGGGGGGACATGGTAAGCTGTATCGCTGTTACCAACTCCTTACCCTCCTCTGCGTCCATGCCCTTTGCCCTGTGACTCCACAGTTCCTCCCCCCAGAGGTGGAATATAGCTGCCTGCCTCGTTTATTTAGGCACGATTTGCCCACATGATTTCCTTTGGCCGATAAAATGTTGGCAGATATGACCTTAGTGAAGGCTTGATATGTGCTTACAGGATTACTAGAGCTAAGCCCAACCCAAATCAAACAGCCTGCAGTTCAGTTTGAGTTTTGGAGTGGTTCGCTGTATAACATTATCATGGTAAACGCTTAGCTAGGACAAGATAAGACAGCAAGAAGCTATACACATCTCCATATCTTAATTTTTGCTCCAAGAAGATCCTACATTTCCTAAATAAAGTATAGCTCATGTTACAGGTTATAATCCTTCAGTCGCCCTTGGATGTGAGTATGAACAATATTTCAAAGGCTAGATGAATAAACCAACATGCTCATTGCTTTTGGATCTGTTTCAGTAAGAAACGAGTCTCCAGGTAGAACTTTGCTTTTGACGTCTCCGAAAAACACGACTTTCAAAATACTATGGAGTGATAAACTTGAACACAGACATTCCTCATGTGCTAAACACTGTGTCGTGTGGCTGCGTTAGGAATTATGGAGAGGGATTAAGTCGATACCTTTTTCTGAGGCTCATCAGGTGTGTCCATGGGAGTGATAGAGCCCTCCTCGGCCTCTGAGTGGTTTGACTCGCAGGAGGACACACTGACGGAGTCCATGCTTTCGCCAGAGCTCCCACTGGCAGTGGACTTGGGCTGCTCTTTGGTGGGAGTGCTAGTGGTGATAATGTCCGAGCCCAGAAACAGTCTGCAGAAGACACAACGCCAGGCATTCTGACTCTCATGAACCCATGCAATCCATGACTGAGCAAATATTTTTGTGTGAATTAAGTCTTTCATGTTTTCTCAGCCTTGCTTGCCCTGTCATTATTATTTTAGAAAAACATTTGCTCAAAGTTTCTAACACATCATAGTAAACATCTTGTCTCAATAGGTTATTTCCAGCCTCAGAGAATACACAGTTTGCTTGGCTGCATGAAGGGCCACATTAATCTGAAGTCTTTCTAGGTCGAGGGCTCTCCATTTTGTAACAGTCAATGGACCAATTTGGCAGGATCAAAATACCATTACCACAACCCTCTCACTTCCCACCGTAAAATGAATTCCATGAAGCTGAAGAAGAAAGTGGACACTCTGTTAGACAAGAAACGAAGGAGGAAGACTTCTGTTTCTTACAATCTGATGAACTACAATAACCCAAACCCCTTCGCTATAAAACAAGTAGATGAGAAACATTAAAAAAAAAAATTTTTTTTTTTTAAAGTTGGGCATGCAAGATAGTAAGGAAAATCCCGGAGGCCAGAAACAAAAAAGGAACTGAAAACCAGAAGTATGTGAGCTAATTCTGCAGCTGGTCTGGATGGGGAGTGGGAGGTGGCAACCTCGGAAAACCAGGGACCTGGATTTTTACACATGCACAGGCCCCAAAAATGAGGGCTGCTGTTTATGGAAGGTGGGGAGTTGGAAATGAGACCCTTATGTAGAGCCAGGATCCTCAAAGGATTGTACCCTTAGAAAAGTGTGAGCTAGAAAAATATCTTCCTACTGGCATAAGAAGATGGCAGAGAAGTCTGCCTGTCCTGGCCTGAGCCTGGGTGAGAGAAAAATGTCTCCTCCACAATCATGTGTGATTTTGGCCAGTACCTCACTCAGACTTGCCACCCAAGTGATCTAAGAACTAGGAATTTCAGGCCAATGATATTTCAGAGGAAACTAGAATTTTTAAAACAGTATTTCTAGAGTTCTATACCTTCAACCTAGGCTGCATGCAGAGAATTCCCTGAGAAAGATGAGCTCACAGTACGAAACTGCAAAATACACACAAGAAAGTATCCTGGCCAAAGAGAGTCAACAAGCATAACAAACAGCAGGTTTAGACTCCCGAGAACTTCAGATATAAGAACTGTCAGAAAGAAACTAATAACTTATTCATTCATTTGACACATATTTGGGTGTCTACCATGGGCCAAACTATAAGATAAGTATTAAAGACATAAGAAAAGAAATTGAAAATAGGAGTTAAGAGCAAGACACTCCGACAAAAGAACAGGAAGGTAACTTGAAAAAAATTTTCATTTCTAAATTGAAAAATATAGAGATTTAAATTAAACTCAGTGTAAGGATTAAATAACTGTTGAAGACAAAAAGTATGAACTAGATGATAGATCTGAAGAAAATCCTTGGAAATCAGCATCAAAATTAAAACAAAACAAAACAAAACAAAACATGAGGGATGGAATAAAAATGCCTGTATAAGAGAGTTCCAGAGAAAGCCAATCGAGAGATAGAAGAAGGACTAGATCTGAAGAGATGGTGGCTTAGAAGATTCTAGAACTAATGCCTTACATCCCCTGATACCAGGTAGAAGCTTGAGCAGCTTCTGAGAGTGGATAATGCATTCTAGCTAATAAACAGACATATACGACATGCAGTAGGTCGGATGAAGATAAATGCACTGAAGAAATGCAAAACAGGCACAGGTGAGAGAGGTTCTAAGGGCAGGGCAGGTGGATAAATTACAGTATTTAATCAGGTGGTCAGGGAAGGCTCACTGAGAGGGTGACATTTCAGCAAAGACCTGAAGGAAGTGAGAGATATCTGGGGGAAGTGTTCTAAGTAGAAGAAACAGTAAGTGAAAATGAGCGCGCCCCTCTGCGCAGAGAGGTCCAGGTGGCAGG